CCCCCCCCCAGTGCACAAATTTTTGTGCACCGGGCCTCTAGTCTATGTAATAAGAGCCTAAGCGACCTTTACAGTGGAATGACCAGAACGACCAGTCGCTATGATGTGCACTGACCACCGGGGGGGCAGATGCTCAATGCAGGAGCTGCCTCCTGGTGGTCAGTGCGCTAAGCGCTGCTCGGCCAGAAGCCAGGCTCACAGCTGGCGAGTGTAGCGGCGATGGCTGGAGCCTCTCCTGCTTTTGCAGCAGAGCTAAGGAGCAGGCGGACATCACCCAAGGGGTCCCGGACTGCAACCGGGCCTCTAGTAAAGTAATAGATTTTATAGTTTGAAGAGTGAACAAAACGAATTAGGCTTCAGATAATATTTGGTGAAAAATATTAAAAGTTGAATAGTTTTGGTGTTACAGTAAAATACTATTTAGCAGCCTTAGTCCCTTCTAGCTGCTGTCACAAAATACTAGAGACTGTGTAGCTTATAAAAATTTGTTTCTTACAGTTCTATAGACAGGGAATTTGAGCTGATTTGGAGTCTGGTGAGAACTCACTTAAATGGTGTCTTTTCATTGCATCCTCACATGGCAGAAGGGTAAGGGAGCTTTTGGGGGACTGATTTTGTACGGCACTAAGGCCATGCCTGAGGGTTTTGCTCATGTCCTAATCACTTCCCAAACGTTTCACTTCCTAGTAATCATCACCTTGGGGTTAGGTTTCAATATAAATTCGAACCATAGTGCAACCCAGTTATTATTCAGCCTTTATTTTTCTCCCATTGAAGTCTCTTGTAGAATTTTTTCCAATGTTTCTATGATTATATTGGGGTTTTTTTGTGGGTGTAAAGCAAACATTGCGTTTGCAGTCACCAGCTTCAGACCTAAATTGTAGTGGCCTGAAAGGGGGCTTGTAAGAGGTGGAAGGTTTGTAAGTCGAGTATGTGAGTAGAGAAAATTGTTATATGAAGTGGCACTTCAGTCTAGAACAGTGGTCCGCAAACTGCAGCTTGCGAGCCACATGCGGCTCTTTGGCCCCTTGAGTGTGGCTCTTCCACAAATACCGACTTCTGCGCACGGGCCACGAAGTTTCAATCGCACTGTACGTGTGCGCCCGCACGTGGTATTTTGTGGAAGAGCCACACTCAAGGGGCCAAAGAGCTGCGTGTGGCTCGCGAGCCGCAGTTTGCCCACCAACAGTTAGGTGAGTAGGCTAAATAAAGTACAGGCCGTATCCCCCTTATCCACAACAAAATGTCTGAAGAGGTAAATCAAAAGTAATTTTTTTCTCCCAGAAGGTAATGACTAATTCTGGTTAAGCGTTTTCTAGTTGGGAATCTGACACCATTGAGTTGGACCTTAAAACATTCAGTAGTATTTGACATGAAAAGAACAGGAAAATTGTCAAGAGGAAAAAGTCGGAGCAGACAGTTGTGTGAAAAGATGTAGACTAGTTAGTTCGAGAACTGCAAGGAAGGAAGGTTCAATGTATTGAAAGGCGTGAGGATAATAACATGGAGGGCCTTGAATGTCATGCTAAAGAGTTTCAACTTTATTCTGTAAGCATGGTATAGCCATCAAAGGTTTGAACAAGGGAATGAGATTCCTGCTTCAAAAGGAAACAAGTGAAAAGACAGGGCAGGGCAAAAGTAGGTTTACATTTGTGAGTGCATGAAACTGATTAATTATTGTATTCATTATTTTCCATACAAACAACTGTAAACCTACTTTTGTCCCACGCTGTATAAACTGCTTGGAAAAGGAAAGCTTAAGACAAGACAACCACTTGAAGATATTTCAGTAGTTCGAAAGAGAAAAGAGCCTAAATGACATCAGAGGAAACAGGCATGGACTTTGGGAGATGTTTTGGAGGTAGAATTAAGAACTGAGCAACTGAATGGAGGGTAAGAAAAAAGTTTTTAAATCAAGCAGTTAAGATAAAAC